GCCCAGACTGAAAATGTATTTACAAAAATGTACACAATAACCACCTGTTACTGTCTTGATAAGTGACCTCTCTTCTGTTAACAGCCACAGATCATGTGACACATAGACTGCACACAGGTAGGCTTTATTTAGCCAATTACTGTATGTGATGAATACATCATTTTATTCTGCTTATTCTATGTTTAAACAAATCTTATCACTCTACCAATTAAAGCAATTTTGTGGAGACTTACTTAATTAAATAAGATTTAAAAAACAGATTAAAGTGTAAAAAAATAGTTAAAAACCTAGAGGGGTCACAGTGTTTCGATAACATAGTTACTTTGACTAGAAATACAATGTATTTGCAGTATGTGTTTCATAGAAAACAGGCTCAAAATGCTTATATAGAACGTACACAGAAATTAAAAACAAAACATAGCTAAAAATGAAGGATCCTTAAAGGACACTTATAAGACATATTAAAGAAACTCATATATATATATATATATATATATATATATATATATATATATATATATATATATATATATATATATATATATATATATATACATTTCTTTTCTTGGCAGGGGGAATAGAGAGGAAATGAAATATAATTTTAATGGGATGAAAAAGGACCTAGAAAATCAAAACTAGAATCAACATCTTATATTTCACGAAGCAGAAGTAAAGTAACTCAACCAGGATTTGCGCTGAACATCTGAAAACCTTGCACTAGAGGGCAGTAGATGGCCAAATCAGGCACTTAGTTCTTCAATTAGCTGAAAAGGATTGGCTTAATAATGACACATCCAACAGAGAGACTTTACCATCCATCACTTGAATTCCATAAATTTGGGTATAAAGCTTTTAGAAAAAGGTTAGTATTCTATATGGGATTGTGAAAATTGTCTTTTTCCAAGTAAACCTTAAAAGTTGTGGGAAATTCTGACCAACACTTTTCTATAAAATGTAAAATTGTGAATAAACATGTTAAAATGCTAATTTTAGAACCAGTTAGTAAATATTTCATGGATTCGTAAGATTGTATGCCATTACTAAAAGAAATCTTATATATCATACTGGAACACAGAAAAAAAGTTTTTTTCTTGTCTTCAAAAAAAAAAAAACACCCTTTATATCACTTCAATCTAATGTCTAATCATACGGGTATTACAGAAGAGATGATGTCATGGCAAAGATTTAAAAATAAAACCCAGTGGTATGTGCCTAGGCTACAGGGTTAAATCTACAATCCTTTATCTAATAATGTGGAAGCTGCCTGGCTTTTCAGGATCTGACCTAGGGAGCTCTCAAGGCTTACACTGGTGTCAAAAGGTTGTTGTCTTTTCCCCTCATGGAACAAGTTTTGGAAATATTTGTGTGTGTTCCATTAGAAAAAGAGAGCCGTAACACCTGGCTGCAGCCCTGTTGGCTCAGCTGAAGCAGTGAGGCAGAGACGATATGTTGCTGCATATTTTACATGTTGGAAATGCATGCAACAATCAAGCAAGAGGAACAAAGTGGGTCCAAGGCTGAACAAAAACATTCATTAGGCAGCAGAGAGCCAGACAGCAAGGAGACACCCATTGACTATTTATTTTGATTGTTGAAATCTGGAACCCTATTTGAAATTAAGTATGCAGAACCATAGAGGGAGGGTAGAAATCATATACTTTATTTGGGCTGGGTAATTGATAATGGATAAAGATCAGAGAAGTTGTCTTGTTGTATATTAACAAGTAGTCAAGTTACTTAAAACATCCAGTTCACACAATAAATCACCAGTAGAGAAAATATTTCACAGGAATTTATTTACCGCTTCATTAGTGGCGTTCTGTTAAACAAGCATTTTTTTTTATTTTGCTTCATCCTTTCTAAAGATTCAACTTTGCCTTACATGGAAACATCACATTTATAAATCAAACAAAATTAAATTCTACTAAATTCTTTAGAAAAAGCTTTAATACCCTTTAAACCTTTTCATATATGATCACATGACAAAAAAAATTACTATATTCTAGCTAAATTCCATGTGATAGATCAACTCCAAAAAGCTACTAATTAAAATGGAAGAAAAAAAACAAACAAGGGTTTCTATCCTTCCATCCATGTATCTCCTTCCGCTTAATCTGGCTGCTGTGGAGCTATTTGCAGTAGTCGATGGGTGAAGGGAGGGGTACACCCTGGACAAGTCGCCAGTCCAGCGCAGACCAGGGTTTCCGCAAAAATGTTAATACAAATACATAAAAACTAGTGTTGCACCGATACAGATACCAGTAACGGACAGGGCCCCAATACTGCACTAAAATGCTGGTATCAGTATTGGCGAGTACCAATAAATAGGGCACTGATACCATTTTTAGAGCCAAAAATGTATTCAACTATTGTCACCCATTCCAGGTAGGCCATAAAAAGTAGTATGCATTTCTTCATGTATACACACACACATAAATTTCAAACGGATGGTATCGGTATCGGCCAATACTTCACAGCAAGGTATCGGGGCCAAGAAATGATGTGCATATTCATTTTATCAGTTTCGTTTAAAGCCCCTAAATAACAGCATGTAAATTAGATAATCTAATTTCTGACCAAATTAGATTAAAACTGGACTTTCATGGCACAAAAAAAGCTAAATGGGGTTAAAGCTAGCATTCATAGCACAATTCACACAGTGAGAAAATACTGGTGGTTTCAGTGGGATGCTTTTTAAGGTCCAGAGTAGATGGTAAGGTACATACAAATAAAAGCTTTAGTGCCATAAAAAAAGCCTGTTAAAGGCTGCAATGGACATGAACCTGCATAGGAGAACGTGCCTAAATATAAATGCAGATCTATAGGGTGGGCTTTAAAAAAGGACACACATATCAGTATAAACTTCTTACCCATAGTCTCTTCATTTGATCTTAAGATGATTAACTTGCAAAAATCAAACTCTCAAAAGTCTCAAAGCAGGTAGAAACTTACCTCTTTAGACCTAAAGCTTTAATCACAGTGAAGCAGAGTTCTGCAAACCATTAAAAAGTGGGCTGAATGTGAAAGTTATCCCCACCTGTTGGATTTTATTTGCAGAAGTTGTGTGACAAAATGTGAATAAAGTTCATGATGGGATTTCACTGGAGTGCTTTCACACTATTTATGATCAAAATAAGACTTGTATGTTGATTAAGTGATCATTATGTTCTCCAGTAACAGTAAAACATTACTTATAAAACAGATGAAGAGCCGTTGAGTGTAAATAGAACACTTGAAATAATAAATTGGGAATAATATACAGTAGCTGCTAGTTAAAAATCCTGAACTACATTATTTCTTAAATTCTTATTTTGCTTATCATTGTAATGTCTAATATTAACATGCTATCTTACTTATCGTAACTATATCTGAATTTTTAAATTGATCACAAGTTCCTTACACTACTGTTCTTTGTTTGACTTTATTTAGAAAAAAATGTATATACATCTAATCAGACTACTGTCTTTTTCCCCTAAGCCATTGTTGACAATTGATTCGGATCTAATTGTGCCCATGGAAAACATCCTAACAGAAATCAGCTGATAAGCAAAGCATTGCTGCAGACGCTATAATTGTTTCCCCTTCTGACTTGCTGTGGCTGCTGATAGTTCTGCAGTCAGACAGAACATCTGGTTCAGCTGAAAGCTGCTTGTAGTTTGTTTTTTCAAAGCCTGGCACTCTGTTCTTAGTTTGTTTTTTAAAGGTCCCAAATTATCTGAATTCCTCTCATAACAGTGAACGACCCAAAGCGCCCAACACAAAACAAGAGGACAGTAGTGGGTTTGCTCGGTGGAGGATTACTAGAAATAATATTGAAAAAAATAGCATTTGTTTGGTATCTTTAGCTCATATCAACAGTGATTTTACTGCACTCGATGTAGTGGAACAGAGGTTCCCAGTGTGGGGGTCGAGACCCTCCAAGGTCTCCTGAGATATATCCAAGCAAGGTTTAGGAAAAAGAGACATCAATGAAAACACTGTGGAGAAAATCGTCTTTATTTTGTCCTGAGTTGACATTCTCTGCTTTTTCTTTCAACTGTAACAGACACATATTAACAGTGGATATATCATAAGCTTAGGCTATTTTGACATTTGATGAAAAGATAAATTTAACTTAACTAAAAAAAAAAAGACCACATCTGATGTTTTAAAGTGTATTAAGCATATTATAAAATGTAGTGCCCTCTGTTACAGGGATGCAAATGTCCAAAGGAATGTCATGTATAGAATTGTTAATCTATTCAATAATGCTAATCATAAAAAGTTATGATAGTAATAATAGTTATATTAATTTTCATTTTAATATTAAAATAATTGTAATGATTAACTATTTTTATCAATCATCATTTTATTATAATTAAAATGAAAAGAGGCTAGTGCCTCTTTCCATTGCTCATTGGGCCATAGGCAGGGTAGACTCCTGGACGGGTCACCAGTCCATTATTAAGCTATACTTTCAAAACTTTGGAATTTTTCAAACATTTCAAAATATATGCATTGAAAAAAAAAGTAACATAGTTTATTTAATGGGTAATTTAATGGTGTAATCTTTTTTTTTTTTTACTCCCCCTTAAAAAATTCATTTATCCCCTTTGTGGTGTAGTTGTCATCTAGTAAACCTGGTTTTAATCTAAAATTGAAAGTCTACTTTGGTAAACTTTATTCAAATCCTGTAGAAAAGAATAACTTAACTCCTGATTTATGTTGCCATTTCAAGAGGCTTTTATTAGATAGTTTAACAAAAATAGGAATAAAATTATAGATTTTTACCCTAGTCTTTATTACAACCATTATTTTATAATATTATATATATCTTTCTTAATATAATTTACCACAAACTGCAACAGGATTTTTGGATGCTGTAAGTATAGTGCATCAACGAATACTGGAAAGGCAGAATGGACAGTGCCATGAATCTAAATGTGGAAAAAAAACAGCTACGCCCCAACAGGGCTGTTGCTAGTTATATTTGCATGTGTTTAAAAAAAAAAAAAAGAAATAATTTTTTTTATGAGACATTTCAACCTGAGCCATGTCCCTGCGAAGCTGAGAGGCATCTATGAATGATCTAATGGATTTTAATAAAGACAAGCCATGTAAATGTTTACACAAAAACAATCTCCTTTCCGTAAATTTAATTGTAGGATAATGTATATCAGAACTTTTCACCCTTTCAGATTGCCTCTGGATACCTAATTTTTATCTTTACATTTACCTTGTAAGGTAAATTCTTGTCCAACTTATTTTAAAAACCCTTTCAAAAACAATTGTCATTAAATTATTCTTGTTTACAACAGTGTAATAATAGAGAGTATGTAAGCACATTTCCCTTTAACAAATCCATTTTATCTTTATTCAGAGTGTATTACTGAGCTTATATTGGCATAGAAATAAGGCAACACAGCATACAGCAGATTTACTTGATACAAATTTACCTATCGTTAAAATACTGTACCTTTCTTGCACAAAAACATGTACTAACCAGAATCATATTGAAGGTTTTTTTAAAGACATTTTTTCACATTGTAATAAAATAAAAATAAAAAAACAATTACAACAAAACAGAGGAATCAAGGCTGAATTGTGCGAACAAAGAGCCAAGGCTCCAAAAAAAAAAAAAAAAACGAGAGTTGACAGAGTTGGTTAAATCACTGCATCGCTCATTGCTTTGGATGATGCACCACTGAAAGGTTTGTGTTATGAAAATGTCTCTACGGTGATGCCGGCCTCAGCAGAACTTGTTATTTTGCTACAGATTCAGTGTGTCATAAATACATAACTTACCACTTAAAGCACTGCAAAGAATTAGTTGAAGCTGATATTTCTGTGACCACAGGGCTCATACTGTACACTGAAAGATTAGCAATGCATTTAGAATCTACATTTGTCTTATCCATGAACACTCTTTGTAAACAAAATGTCAACATATGGATGGCAGCAGAAAGTACATGACGTGTGAACAAATGTCTATGGAGCAGCATGCTACAGCAGCCAATGTCCTGTAAAAAACAAATAAAAACAAAGAAGAAAATCATAGCGTTCCTCTCCGGTCTTAATTTGCTGCTTTCAGTCAGTCTACTGGTCTCTTTTGGTAAAGCTTCATTCAGCTCATGCTTTTTAACTTGTCTTCAAGGCTGATTGGTCTCAGATACTGCAGGAGTCACAGTAACAGTTTGCTTCAGTAGATCAACGTGTAACAGTTCAGCCATCCTTTTCCTGAAATGTGCAGCTGCAAAGAGATATACACATATTATGATGTTGAGTTCAGTAATATTAAACAACAATTCCTCAAATTAATGCAATAAAATCTAGGACTCTCATGAATATAAACAAAAATAATTTATGATTATTGGAGTATTGAGAAATAATTGGTTGTTTGAACCTCATATGCATACCAATCTATTAGAAAATGGATGCTAAAAGGACGGAATGTGCACTTTGATTTTATTCATGACACTGAAAAATATCAGGGAGATTTGTGGATGTAAATAGTTGAGGGGTGAACCTTAGCTTGCCTCATTTCAAAAACAGCCACTTTTTGCCATTTAGTATCATCAGTTTAGAGCCTGTTCAGAAGGTTGAAGATCAGAGCCACAGACAAGCAAAGAAGAAAAAAAAAACACATCAGCCAATCACAGAGAGTCTAATTGGTAAGTCCTTAGCCAGACCATCAAATTGTGGGAAAATATGTTTCTCAAGTGAGATTATTTCATTTTATGTCTAAGCACTGGTCTGCAGGGAGTAGCACAGCTGCCTTGCAGCAAGAATCTTCCGGGTTCGATTCCCGGCCAGGGTCTTTCTGCATGGAGTTTGCATGTTCTCCCTTAGCATGTGTGGGTTCTCTCCAGGTACTCCGGCTTCCTCCCATAGTCCAAAAACATTACTGTTAATTGGCTTCTATAAATTCTCCTTAGGTGTGAGTGTGAATGGTTGTTTGTCCGGTTTGTCTCTGTGTTGCCCTGTGATGAACTGGCAACCCGTCCAGGGTGTAACCCGGCTCTCACCCGTAGACAGCTGGAGATAAGTACCAGCAACCCTTGCGACCCCTCTTTGGATAAGTGTTAATTGATCTCTTTGAAAAGGCCTATATCATGCAAATAAAACTTTAAGCTTTTAAATATCTAATAATGATACAGTAGCAGCCATTCAAAATGGCCCTTTCCAGTCAAACCACAGCCGAATGGCAGCCGACATCCCTGCAACTCCCAGCAACATCCCCTCCAACTTCCAGCCACTGGAGTAACCCCTCCTTCTCCTGGGCGTGCATATTTTTTACTATGACTCCAGCCTTTACACTGTCTGACCAGGAGATGGTGCTTCTCTTTAGATCCTAATGTCCACAAATCATAAAAGAAAAAATATTTTAGTACAAAGATTGATGTTTAAAAAGGAATTGTATGGGACCAGGCAAGAACCAGCCAAGGGCCCATCAAGGAAAGTGGGGAAATTTTGAATGTCTACTGCTGTATGTCTTTATCAAAAATAATGCACAAATGGTATTTCCCTTAATGCATGCATGTCAGTTCTCCTCAGGAATCCTGTTCTCTGAGCTGCAGCGCCTTCCTGTCCTGTGCAAGCAAGCACCATCATCCTATGTAGGAAATTGACAAACCCTCTCTTCCAGGAAGAACGCTAGCTTGACCGTACTGCCCCTGCTCTGTAAACCAACATCCATCGTGATGTTGGATGTGCCTAATCTGTACATGGATGGCAACTCTCCTTTTTTTAGCCAAGTTGTGCATTGTGAAAACATGTTTGTTGGGCTCAAGCCTTCAGAAGTGGAGTGATACGGCAGTGTTATGAAATGGGTGGCACCCAGATGGGGAGCGCCAACTTCACTCCAAAATCATGTGTTTTTCTTCCAGTTCGAAGAAAATAAATAATATTTCATAACAGATAAATAGTTTACTGGCTAAAGGAATTATTTCATCAAATATGTATGCCTATAGTTGACTTTGAAAGGTGTAAAAAAGCATGAATAGAACCTTTAATTATTAAATGATGCCCTCTCTCTCATTGCTTCTCCTGCGTCTTTACCTGAGATAATTTGCTTAAGCAGGAACTTTATGCTTTTTTTTCAGTGTTGTAGCCAAATGAATAATAATGTCAGTATTTTAATTACTCTCCCCACCTTCTAATGTGTAGCAAAAGCTGGGAGATATTTTTTTAAGGCCAAACAAATTTCTGCTTTAAGAAAACTGACCAGAGATGCATTTACAGGGTTTGATTGGCATAACAGATGGGTTTTTTTTAAATCATGTTTTTACAGTTACATTGTTGTAGGTTAGATAAACCTTTTCAAAAATAAGAGTGGAAAAGTTTAGTAAGATGAGGTATTCTTGTGATAAAGCTGCTGAGAGAAATGGGAGTGCCATTTGCGGCAAAGGAACAATACCGCTCAGAAATGGATCAGAAATGCAAAGCCTACATAAATGCTACCACAGTTTCATTGTTTTTTTTGTTTTTTTTTGTTTCTTTATGTGTTGCTATGGTGAATAAAAGGGAGACTTGGCTTTCACAGATGCTTTTAAATTCATGGTTAAAAAATAAATAAGTGCAAATAAGCCTTTAGCTCTTTTTTTTAAGGCTGTTGGGAGACCAATATCATATAAACTCATTCCCCTTTTTTGTCAAGTGATATTAGCACTGTTGAGTTATATTCAGATGCATGATGATGCTTGTCAAAGTGTGTATTGTCAATGTACTATTTGATATACAAATTCAAGATAAAGAGTTGAAAAAAAGAAAAAGAAAAACTAAATCAACATTAAGTACATACAACGTTGTTCTTTCTTTTCAAGATACTATTATTGTGCTTTAAACAAAGTGCATAATAGAAACAAAGACCAAACTTTTAACTGTACTTAGGAATATGTTTTTGTAAAAAAAAAAAATACTTCTAAGATTTAAAAATGCTATATTTCTTTGCCTAAGATGTAATCCTCTCACAGGAAAAAGGGGAAAAAATGAAAATGGGAATACTTATATAGAACAAGGTCATGTTTTATAATTATGATGAAATTCTAACTATATTTCAAGCATTTGGTATTACCTACTGTAATAATACACCAATTATATCAAGCCATTTAAATACTATTTTTTATTTTTTCACAGAGAAACAGAAAGGCCAGTTCTGTCTTCATGTTTAAAGTCTTTTAGGGTGTGTTTGTGCCAGGGAGATATTTTCTGTACTTTTGCAAATGTTTATATATTTGACTGTCTGCAGCCATAGTTCGTCAACATGATTTTATCACAGCTGACTAAGAAATGTTTGTACAATATTCTGATTTGTAGGTGAAACCAAAATTAACTGAACTGAAAGATGTCTGAACTTTAAGCAATAAATCACAGTTAAGAGCAAATATTGTTTACTTGTATCTTAGCACCATATCTCTATGTGTTTCCCAATACTCCAATCGTTGCTCACTACTTCATGTATTTATTACAGCTTTCTGCCTACAGTATATGGCCCAGGCTGTCTAAAATAAGTTGTTTTTTTAATTGCCTGAATTTTTAGTTTCATTATGGCACTGTTTGCCTTGTCAGCTTGTCCAAGACACACCCTGTACAGTACCCCAGTTTCTATCAGATAAATATATCTGTTACTTCTTTCTGAAAAACAACATGGCACCTCTTTCCTGTTATTTATTTTTCTGGCTAATTACAGAACATTCCCTCCTCTTCTTTTTTCTGTGTTAACTACCGTCCTGCTTCCCAACAAGACATGCAATATGATGCTATCGGCTCCACTGAGCATGCCCTTACAGGGAGGCATAAAATAATTCAGCCTGTAAGCTTCACAGAAAAGCTAATCTGTGTTGAAAATGAACATAAATGTAAAACCTTAAAGTTTGACTTCATGAATCAATTAATTTTTGTTAATATTTTTAACAGAACCTGACCACATTGGAAATAATCAAACTCTGGTCCCCTGTTTCTGACACTGACTTTTCACATAAAAAATGCCCAATGAAAAATATTAGTTTTAAAGTTGAAGTTGAATTTGCTATTTTAAAAAAATTGAAGACTTTTTTTAATAACTATTGGGACTCTGTAGCATGATGGACAGTGACATCTCTTCTGAAACTGCAAGGGTCTCGACGAATACTATTTAGTGTGATTTTTTTTCTTTTATATGACAATGTGCCTAATAAAGGTTTACTAGCACTTTGCCTGAGACTTCAACAGATGAAATTACCATTCATACTTTAGTGAAGGGCCCAGCTATGAGTTAAAGATTTTAAACAATCAAAAATAATAAAATAGCAGATTTCTCTGTACCCACCTAAGGCAACATTTTTAGATTATCTTTTTGTTCTACATCTGTGCTTTATGTGCAGCAATTAATGAATTAATAAAATAATTAAAGGATATCTTGCTAAAAGAATCAAACACATAATCCACCCAAATGTAAATGTAATAAGTAATATAAAATTGCTGTCTGTGTTATTTATGTCAATACATAGACAAAATACACATAACAAAATGATATAAAGGTTATTTTCAAGCACAGCTTTTGATGTAGATAAATTGGTAATATTGGGCTCAATAACCAGTTTTTTCTCTAAAGCACTAAATGCATTTGATCAAGCGGAATGAAGGCGACATCAACAGCTCTTTAGACAATATGAGGGGGGAAAAGCATTTTGCTATTTGGAAGCAAATCCAAGCTCCATGCCTTAATATCGCACTGGATGTTTTACGTAACTGCATGGATTGAGTTATATGATGTGAAAGTGCCAAATGATCAATAATGATATTTTTATAGTTTGTGGATTCAATGTGAAACTATGAGCCCAGATGGGATCAACGTATCTGGTCCAAACACCAACAGCCAAAGGATAATGGACCAAGTCTCACGCACAGTTGCTTCGAATTACAAAACAACATTAGGTTAAGAGCAAGAGAATGTATACTCTACCCTCACTGATTGGTGCATGACACAGTTACACAGTATGTAGAGCAGAAGCCATGGCAGGATATCAACAGCCAGACCATATTGACGATTCGTCCTAAAGGGGTTAAGTTTTTAATTATGATAATAAAAATATTATTTCTGAACACACTATCATACCTGTTTATATGTAACACTGAATGCAAAAAATATCACTAGACTAAAAGAAAAAAAAATAATATTACTTCACTTATTTTTGCTTGCTTTGACCCATCAATACAGCCAGATTAATTTTCTGCATCATGAGCGAAGTAGCACTTTCTGTTAAGTGAACA